AATAATAAAAAAACGTTGTTATAAAATGATCATTCGCAAAACCATGTGATATGATAGTACTGAGTTATTTGGCAAAATGGTCTTGAAATCCCTACCAACGCGCCTGATTTCTTTTCGTCTTTGTTTATTTTCAGGAATATATCAAATCACTTTGTAATCCCGAGCTGGTTATCTCTGTTCCTTTTGCGGAACAATTTTTCAGTGTTCTGTACAATTCATGGGATGATCTTGAAAGATCAACAAGCGCTGTTGTTAAGTTCCCTTCTCGAAAGGAATGCTCAATTCAAGGTAGTGCAGAGGCCGTGATAATGGCACAATCAGCGATCGAAGATAAACTTAAAACACCGCAACCTCCTGCTATTGAGCCACAGTTGAGGGAGTTTGCAATCAAACTTGGTTATTCCAACCAAGTCATAGACCAGGCCGTTCAAAAGCTTGGCTCAAACGTGACTCAAAATACACTGCTAAATGAGCTTCTGAAGCAAACAGCTTCGTTACCTTACCAAATATCAGCAACCCCTTCTCAGCCAAAGCCTTCTTCTGGCCCAGTTGCACCCCATTCCAGGCAAAGAGAAGTTGTTGCTAGAGGTGCCCCAAACGCATCGAGTATTATGAGATCAGGCTATGAAAACCCTCCAGATCACATGGTTCGAGCCCCAATTCATCCTCACTGGGACAGAGAGCCATCACCTGGTCCATCCATGCCTTACAACAGGAGAGATGTTATTACCAAAGGCATGCCTGATCCAGTGTCAAGACTTGGCTATGAGATTCCAGGTGATGTCGTGGAAAGATGTGTTCCGCGTGGCACCAAAAGGGGTTTTGAAAATCAGCGCCCTGATGATATAGTTGCTCGTGGCTGCTCTTCTGCGCAGCCTCTTATGAATGTGCTTGTGGGACCATATGGTAACCAGGTATCGCCACTGTATGATTCAAGAGAAATCGCTAGCAGTAGTGGGATGAGTGCTACAGAGGCAAGACTTGATGAACAAGAACAGTTGATGTACCAGCAAATTGTTGGGGCTAAAAAGACCTCAGTTAGTGCATCCTCAAACTTAAGACCAATAGTTATTGATGGAAGCAATGTGGCAATGAGGTGGGTTTATGTATCTTTTATAAATATTATGTAACAATCATTTTCTTTTAGTGTCCAATGTGGAGTACAGTTCTCTTTAAATAAAAGAGTAAAGGTGTACTGTTCACTAGCTTTTATTTGGAAGGTCACAAATCAGGATTTCTACTCCCTATTAAGAGTTAAAAACGCCTCAATTTTGTTTTATTACAATGTTGATCAATTTATTATTGCATCCACACACTTCGTTATAAGTGGTCGAAAAAATGTTAAAATATAATGCCTTTTATTTACATGCAATTTCAATCTGGAGTCTTTGTTGAAACTTTACCTTTTACCTACTGTATTTACAAGAACAAAATTTCATTTTTGGATGCTGCACATGTTGTACATGTAAGAGGTTGAATTTGTAGGGTACATGTGAACAGCTTTTTCACAACAAATTGCACTTTTACATGCATTTGCCTAAATTTGGGCACGAAAGTAAAGGTTTTGTATAACCAATTTACAGGTTCAAAAAATAGAATGAAAATTGTTGCTAAAATTTTCGTGAAACTTGAGAATCTTGTTTATGAATATTAGAATGTTCTCAAATAACAGGAAGTTTTTTTGAATGCCCTGAGCATGTGCAGTTGAGTTAGAGCTTAAACAAGGTCAAACAAGTCGTTGTTTATTCCTGTGGCTTAAGACTTCCTCTTTCCTTTCATTCAAACTGCATCTGTTATTGCTTTTTGCATTCATGTAGAAAAGTTAGGAACTATTTCATGAGAATTTTATCCGCTTTTGGCACTTTTCCACTTTGACTTAAACTTGTGTTGCTGTGTTCTGATTATTTGTACTGTTGTTTCATATATATTGTAATGCAGATGAAATCATGAAGTGTGACCATAAAAATGAAAGCTAATGAATAATTCCTTCCTTTCTGGTTGTTTGCTCCTCGCTTCATGTTTTTTGTGGAAAATTCCATTCTTTGGCATTCTGTTGTTTTTTCCTAAGTAGATAGAAGATTCTAGTTTTGTTGGTCTAGTCTTCCTATTTTTCTAGGAACACTATACATATTAACATTTTTATTGCAATAATCAAACCATGATTAATTGAAAACTGCACTTGCAACCAATCAGCATTGAACAACTGTATTTATTTAAGAACTCATTGACAGCCCATTTTTCACTTGAAGACAATATTGAAGGGTGAACTGTCACATTTGGGTTAATCTGCATCTCAAGTCTTGGGAAACTGGAAGACAACCATTAAAGCATCAAGTTTTACCTAATCAATTCAAGACAGTATGCTCATCTGATGTGACTTTAAGTCATTACTGAGCTCATCAAATTTCATAAATTCATGCCTAGTCTAGACCAGAACTGATGATTCTAGTTCATTTAAGAGTAATGCTTACTGTTTTGAATACTACACCAGAGCCCCTTTTACATACATTTTGAGCTGTATGAGTTGGTTTATTGGATCACCTCACTAATGTAATTTTTCCATTTTTTTTGCAGTCATGGACGCCAAGATATATACTCTTGCAGAGGTATACAACTTTGTGTAGATTGGTTTAGAGACAGGGGACACAAAGAAATCACAGTATTTGTACCATCATGGCGAAAGGAGGCTTCACGGCCTGATAAACCAATTACAGACCAGGAAGTACTACACAATCTGGAGCGCGATGGTATTCTTGTGTTTACTCCTTCAAGGAAAGTAAATGGGAGGCGAATTGTGTGTTATGATGACCGTTTCATCATCAAGCTTGCTGCAGAGACTGATGGAATTGTTGTATCAAATGATAACTTTAGAGATTTGACAAAAGAGAATGCAAAGTGGAGAGAGACAATTGAACAAAGATTACTCATGTACTCATTTGTTGGGGACATGTTTATGGTTCCAGATGATCCTCTTGGGAAGCATGGTCCTAATCTTACAGACTTTCTTCGCAAAGGGTCTGCAACGCACCCCAAAATTTGCCCTTACTTGAAGAAGTGCACATATGGCCTTAAGTGCAGGTTTTATCATCCTGAAAGAGACCAGGAAGCAATAAACTTGAAACTGGAAAAACTCATTGATTTATTTGGGGAAAGTTTCCCTGAATCTGCTATGAGGAAAGTGATTAGTGACAATCCAACTGCCACAGTTACTGTCTTGGTAAATATATTGTGTGACTCTGTTGGTAATGGACATGGCAAACATTAAAATGTACAGAATATTTTGTACGGTAGTAATTATAGAAAATTAACCAAAAAAGTCATGGATTTCATCTTTCAGCCAGTAAAATAAGTTTTTGTTTTTTATTTTATGCTCATAAGTTTTCTGATCTTTACTTGAATCTCTTCAGTATGAATTTATATACAGTTCAGGACTGAAATTTTAATAAAAGTAAGAAAAAAATATGAAACTTTTATTTGATTTCCTTTCGAAGGAAATGTATATGCACACTTATGTTAATCTTACTGGCTGAAATGTGAAATGTGAAGCGACGGTTCTTAGTAATGATAGATTTCTCCATGTGGAGTAATTCAGTGCTAGTAATCTGACTCTAGCTTAGAGGTGACATTGCAATGGAGCAGGGGCAGTTGTTCTCTAACTATTGCTTGGTCATATGGCTAGTGTCTTGATAACCCCCCCAAAGTGTAATATACTAGTTTACAGTGTGGCAACTTGCAGCTGTATTCTTAGTATAATAAAGGTACTCTCTGTGAGAGCTAAAGCAAAATGAAATTCCGATTCCTATCTGGAATCATTAGCTTACTGTGTTAGAATAAAAATCAATGATATTTCAGTCGCATGATGGTAAGATTACTAAAATGTTGACTCGGAGTCAGCAAAATGTTTTGCAGCTTAGATGTTGCTGTTTCTTTTATGCTTAAGACAGACTCAATGTCTGTCAAAAATGTGTAGTTGTTAGAATTGTTGGCAAATGAGTATTTGGGTTTGAATATAAATTAAAGGGGGGATTTCAATACAAGAAAAAAAAAATAAGGAAAAAACGAAGAAAATTTAGAGGAAAAGCAAAAATAGAAAAAAACGTGTATTTTTTTGTTGTTGCTGCAGCTGCAGCATGCTATTGTTTGGTTGAAAATGTAACTTTGCATATTTAGACACATAAGGCCAAAAACGAGATTAACCCTTACAAAAAGTGTCTGAGAATTGTTGCAAAATTTATGAACAAAATTTTATCTCGCCATGCCTTGATCTTCTTTATAATAATATTAAAGTTTGACAGCAATTCAGCTTATTGATGGCTTTGTGTTGTTGTTTCTGTTATTATTCTGTGTTAATGTTATTGTTGCTAAAGCATTAATAAAAAAGTAACTGTGAGAAAAGAACAAAAATGTATTATGATAATTTTGCTATTGTTGACAAAAAATGTCCTGTGCATTATATGAGTGTTAATAAAAATTTTGAGTTGTAAATTAATGTTTTCGCATTTGTTCTTTTAACAAAATCGTGAAACTTGGAGAATGTTTTTATTTCAGTGAGGAAATAACTTCACAGTAGCTAGCTTGAGTACATAAAAATAATGCAAAATCTACATCATTTCTTTGCAAGAGTAGTTTTTTCCAGGTTTTTGAGGTTATTTTTTGTATTAAAGTAGACATAGGGAATTGCATGTTTTTATCAGACAGGAGCCTTCTTTATAAGCTTTGTTCTTGCGAGATTTTTTTTCGAGCTGCACACAAAATATTTCGTGCATATGTGTAACCATGAGGCTCAGATTAGATGGGTGTATCACACCTTCCCTTCCCACTTCCCACGCTAGTGTTCTGACATTAGTACCAATATTGGCACCAATAAGGCCTGATAGTGGCGCTATTGTGCCAATGATGTCATCAAAAACCGCGCTTTGTACCCAGGTTACCCCGGTCGGTTAACTGAGGCAGTTTCAGACTCTGGTGCACTTCATAACTTTTTGAAAAACAACATAAAAATGGCTTCTCACGACGAATTGCGGACCACGTGCAGTAAACAGCTGAATTTTAAACCTGCTCAAACCCTCTTGAGGTTAGCAGAGGAGAATAATTTAGTTATAACAGACGCAGCATTCGCTACACTCCTAGATGAACAAGATAAATTGAAAACCCTTCGCGAAGAGTTCTATTATCCTAAGATTAAGGATCTACCTACAGGTGAGCTCATATTTACTCTATAGGAAGACCTTGTGGTACCTGGTATAATCGATAAGTACAAGAATGGTGTAAATTATACTGAAACAGGAGTCAGATAGACTAGGAACTCTTTTGGCGGTCTTTTACATGTTTCACTGTCACGCCATCAGAAATTTAATCGATAACGTCCAGAACCAGGTGAAAAGATGATAAATTATAATGTAACAGCCCTGCCATGATTCAAGTCAAAAGCTTTGCAAAAGCTAAGAAATTAAAACGTACCCTGGCACAAAACGTTGAACCCCTTCGACCTGAACATTTGTAAAAATATTGAGCTTTTAAATTTATTAGCTGCATGTAGCTTAAGTTAGAACTAAGAAGAAGCAATAATTCTTCAGTTCGAATTTAGATCACTTCATGTGAAAACCCATTAGGGTCTAAGGAATGTTTGTTAAAATCATTATGCTAAATTCGATCCATCAAAAAGGTATGCCCAGAATATAATGCTCATAATTATCAGCACGCATGATCAAGTATACATGTAAGCTTTTTATGCTCTTAATAATGTCAGACTTAAATGACACTTTTCCTTCCCGTGATATATAGTGAATAAACATTTCTACAGTTCTCGATCATTGCTTTTCTCTGATAGCAGAGGCCTCTTTTCCTTTGTATTCGGTGACGGAATACCATTGTCAATGTTATATTGTTTTGAGGAGAGGTTAAATATTATATTATGAATTGATTTGAATTCCTGCCTGGGATCAGGCTCCACAGTGGGGGAAAAGGTGAAAAAAAATATTACAATGAATCCATGCCAATATTCAATGAAGGGGTTGGGCATACTCGTCACCTCATTTTAGGAAATTTAAATGAAAGATTTTGGTATCACCAAGGCTTTTGAGGATATCACTGAGCATTAATAATTGATGTGCTCAGGGAATATGAGAAAGGGAGGAGAAAAAAAGCCCAAAATTAATAAAGAAAGAAGAAAGAAAGATTTTATGAGAACTTTTGTATCAGAAATATGAAGATAACTGCAACTCTTTAAATTTGGCTGAAATTTATTGAGAAAAAAGATAGCCTGCAAGCAAGAACTCCTTTTGGCACATATAGACCTTGTCACGGTTTTCGATGCCATCTTGACAAGTAGGCAAATGCATGAGAAATTACACTGTTTGTAAAACAGTATGAGAATGTAATGTCGAACAATTTCCGTAGAACAGCTGTTCTTAAAAAAATATGATTTGTAAACTAAAGCTTCACTCCTAAGGATTCTACTGAAAAAATTTGAGGGCATTACATGCACTAGAAGACCTAAAACCACTTTTTAAATTTCCTATACATTTGTCTGTTGGAAAGTCCTGGGAAAATTACAGACAAACATATGGAAAATCTAAAGCAAGCCTCTGGAGAAATTTAAGCACAGGTACGCTTCCAAAATTTTTTAGGACAATAGGCCATTTGCACTAAGAGGTCATGTGACATAGTTTTCATGAAAATGAAAGCTATATGAGTTTGCCTTCGAAAAACGATTAGTGGGTCATATCTGAAACATAATAATAGTGATTTGGTTTTTCAAGCCCGCACCATTTTCTTAAAATGAGTAAGTTCCTCGCTGGTCACGTGACCAAAATGTGATTTTTAAAATTATGAATTACTTCTTTCTGAACACAAGCTTTGTACGTTTAACAAGATATAAGCAAAAAGTAGTTTTGGCCGCCATATTGGAGGGCAAGAGTATGCCCTCCAACATGGCGGCCAATACAAATCATACTGCTTTGTTGAAAAATCAAAGTGCCATAAAATATCTCCTTTACATGCGTTTCCTCTCAAATTTCGGCTGTAAGCTAATTTTTATGTGCTCTGTCAATTTTTGGCATCAACAGGATTCCAACTCATTGTTTACAGGAAGCAATGGTCACGTGACCTCTTAGTGCA